GCCGCCTGTACAATCCTGTTTAATACAAGATACCCAAGGAAGAGACGTGTGTTTGCTGTGGATGAGTGACTACACTTCCTACCCTTTTATCTCGGACAGATACATATATTGGGCTATGTGAGTCACAGATGCCATCTCCAGCTGCCAAAGCTAACATCCCACTAGAGGACAGCAGTCTATAAATGGATTCACCACTGCAGCTTTACATGTTAATTAGGCGTGATTCCTGTGTAATGATGGATGGAACTGTGTCGCTATATTAAGAGTATCTGACCAAAGGTCTGGTCCCAGCTGAATCACCAACACATCCCTCATACAAGCAAATTACTTATGTCTAGACATTTAAAACTGAACTTGTATCAGCTACTGTTTTATAGGCTTGGTTTGGTTTGGTTATATATGTTAAACGTCCTATTAACAGTATTAGTCATTTAAGGATGTGCTTCCATGTGTGTTGTGTATGTGTGCATGTGTGTATGTGTGCATGTGTGTATGTGTGCTGCAGACAGAGTATATTGGTGTATTTGCCTCCTTGTGATAGAGCGGATTTAATGCCGACTAATAGTGCTATCTCACTGAAATACCATGCCGGAGGCAACCAGCACAGCATTCCGCCCAGTCACATTATACTGACAACAGGTGGTTTTATAGGCACTCCAAATATTGTAAACAGCAGTATACAAAGTACTTATGTTAACATATCTGAATAGTATTGTATATGTAATGATAAATATACAGCACTTTTGTTAACATACCAAATATCATATATAAATATATTAAAGTATTGATACCAAAGAACATGTGTACCGGTATGTATACCATAGAACATGTGTACCGATATGTATATCATAGAACATGTGTACCGGTATATATATCATAGAACATGTGTACTGGTATGTATATCATAAAACATGTGTACCTGTATGTATGTCATAGAACATGTGTACCGGTATGTCTACCATAGAACATGTGTACCGGTATGTATACCATATAGAACATGTGCACCGGTATGTATATCATAGAACATGTGTACCTATATGTATACCATAGAACATGTGTACCGGTATATATATCATAGAACATGTGTACTGGTATGTATATCATAAAACATGTGTACCTGTATGTATGTCATAGAACATGTGTACCGGTATGTCTACCATAGAACATGTGTACCGGTATGTATACCATATAGAACATGTGCACCGGTATGTATATCATAGAACATGTGTACCTATATGTATACCATAGAACATGTGTACCGGTATATATATCATAGAACATGTGTACTGGTATGTATATCATAGAACATGTGCCCCGGTATGTATACCATAGAACATGTGTACCGATATGTATATCATAGAACATGTGTACCGATATGTAGATCATAGAACATGTGTACCGATATGTATACCTTATAACATGTGTACCGGTTTGTATACCATAGAACATGTGTACCGGTATATATATCATAGAACATGTGTACTGGTATGTATACCATAGAACATGTGTACTGGTATGTATATCATAGAACATGTGCACCGGTATGTATACCATAGAACATGTGTACCGATATGTATACCTTAGAACATGTGCACCGGTTTGTATACCATAGAACATGTGTACCGGTATATATATCATAGAACATGTGTACTGGTATGTATATTATAGAACATGTGTACCGATGTGTATATCATAGAACATGTGTACCGGTATGTATATCATAGGACATGTGTACCGGTTTGTATACCATAGAACATGTGTACCGGTATGTATACCATAGAACATGTATACCGGTATGTATACCATATAGAACATGTGTACCGGTATGTATATCATAGCACATGTGTACCGGTATGTATATCATAGAACATGCGTACCGATATGTATATCATAGAACATGTGTACCGGTATGTATATCATAGCACATGTGTACCGGTATGTATATCATAGAACATGTGTACCGATATGTATATCATAGAACATGTGTACCGATATGTATACCTTAGAACATGTGTACCGGTTTGTATACCATAGAACATGTGTACCGGTATGTATACCATAGAACATGTGTACTGGTATGTATATCATAGAACATGTGCACCGGTATGTATACCATAGAACATGTGTACCGGTATGTATATCATAGAACATGTGTACCGGTATGTATATCATAGAACATGTATACCGGTATGTATATCATAGAACAAGTGTATTTGGTTTGGTTTTACGAGATTTAGCATCAAAACAGCTAGGGTCATGCCTCCATGTGTGTAATGTATGGGTGTGTGCAGGAGATACATGTAGTATATTAGTATATCTGCTTTGGTGCAATAGTGTGGACCTGATGCTGACTTAAGTGATTCTCACTCAATTTGACAATTGAAGGAATGACAACTACCAACTTTAAGGACTCTGGTGGTATTGAGGCATTAGGACAAACCCATAGCCTTCCCCTAGGGCCAACATTGAGGTATTTACAAGCCAGGCACTAGGACAAACCCATAGCCTTCCCCTAGGGCCAACATTGAGGTATTTACAAGGCACTAGGAAACAAAACAGTTGTTACCAAGTAGAGAGAAAATATCAAGATCCAAAATGTTGCATAGTTGCCTTTTTGTCCCTAAGTAGAGGGCATCAAAGCAAATTCCCAATCCTGGTGGGGGTTCCAACATAGTGTATACTGTATAACCATGGTTTTAGTAGGGTTACAAAGTGACACTGTCATGCAATGGTACCTATCTACATTCCTACACAATGTACTTATTGTTGGTATATATTAGTTCTGATGATGTGTCTAGACATAAACAATTTACCAAGGTAGGTACAAACACTGGAGATATACCAGGGCCTGTGCTTATACTTAAGTGTGTCTCAAGTACGAAAACAACAGCATTACAGGTATTATGGAGGATGAAGTCCCTGTCAGAATTATCACATAGAGATCTGTCTCTGTCTGGTGGCACTCCAGCTTTGGGTCGACCTTAGACCTTTTAAGGACAGATTCTGTAATGTGAATATCTTAGTAGGGGAATGGGGAAGAATTGACATTTACCAATGCCACTTTCTGCAACTTGACAGTAATTTTCCGAAATTGTATAAATATATGGTTGTTGTTATCAAACAGAGCTGTTGTGTTGCATGTCATGCAATGTATGACCACATCAAACAATAATCTAGCAATGAATAACATTTCAACAGCACATTTAAACAAAGCCCCTCCAAATCAACTCAATCTAATACATGATCATGTTTAGGCTAATAATGCATAAAAACATTCATTACAAAAGATCTAGCAATACAATGTAACCACATGTGACACACAAAAAGGGCATAGGATTAATGCCAGGCTAACTTTTAGTTGATTGAGTCCATTGTTATCTCAAGCCTCTTAATCTGGTTGCAGGTCAAACAATCATACTGTATTCAACCTAATAAGTGCACTGTACTCGAACGAAAAAAAAGAGGGGTGCATTCAATAGGTACTGTTTGTGCTCTAACCAGCAGAAAATGACTGTGTGTATGAGTTTAAACCGTCAAAACCGCCCCCGGACTTCGTGGTTGCCATGATGTCAATAAAGAAGTGAGTCGTGTATCTGCAAGATCTTGCAGCAGAAGAAATTTCTGTTTCAAAATATTGCCATCTGGTCATGTTTCAGTGAAAAATGATGATACTGTGCGAGTTTTTCCAAGACAATCATGGCCAACAACGTGATCACTGGTTAACAATGGCGAATAGCACAAACTGAAGCGGTGATGACAGATTTTACAGTCAATTTAGATGATAATTACGTGAGGTAAGTGACAGAAAAACAGAATCAGAAACGACAATTTTTTTTTGAATTGAATAACATAATAGACCTTCGACATGTCGGATTTTGAACAGACTGATCATTTTGATGATCAGGTGAGCGATAAGGAAAACAATTGTGTTTAGGACCAGTTGGACTTATAACATTTTTACAATCTATCAAAGGACAAATCAAATAACTCTACGAAGACAAATGTTAGCCAGCATCATTTTGATCTAGACCACTGGATTATATTGGTTAGTAATGTAAACGCTTAAGGGCACCAAGATTTTGGTTAGAAGACTGAAGAATATCAGATCATTGAAGTAAGCAACCTTTGTATGGGTTTTAATTCAGTGCAGCAATCCTCTTTCCCAGAAAAAGGTTGGGGGTGCTTATAGGAGCAGATGCACTTATTAGGTCAAATACGGTATTTGTAATGGAGAATAGAAGCAATGATATCATAATGCCAGAAAATTCCAAAATGCAAGTGATGAAATATTTCAATAGGGAATCAAGCAGTAGACGGACATCCCCCAAACAAGAATGTAGCAGTATTTGTTTAAATAGCAACACACCTATAAGCTAATGTCAACAAGACATGGCAATATTCAAGAAAGTCAGGCAAATCTAAGTCAAACCTCACTATCAGAACATCAGTTCACTAGAATCAAACCTTAATTTTTGTTTTCTCAAAGTACTGTCCACTACATTTCAACTTGAAAATTACTACATTTCCAAATTCATCCAGAAGTGTTCATTATAGTAAGATTTGACTATGTTAAATCCAGACAAAGACTGTCCTTGTTAACTCTACAGGGTTTTAAGCATTCTCTGACCATTCCAACAGGAGCTAAAATTATAATTAGCTACATGTTTGAGAGAATAATTCAGCATTCCAATAGGACTTGTCGGATATGGAAGGATAGCAACACATGCTCACTGACATACAGTAAATTACTTAAATTTGGCAAATACGACTTTGAATATTACATTGTGTAATTCAAAAGGCCATGATCAGTCTAGACCTGAAATGTCTGATAACTAAATGAATTCACATGATTGGATATCTCTGCCTCTTTTTATAACTTCAATCCTTGTAAATAAGTTACAGTACATGTAATAATTAATATTTAAGCAATTTACAGTATGAAGGAGCATTCTCAGTTAGTCATTATATCAGAGTAGCAGTAATAATGTAAGTGTACTTACACTCTCAGGGACCTGGTATAAATAGGTCATTTATCATATCAAATATAAATGCTGTTTTATTATTTATATTCATACAAAACAAAAATATAAAGATTTCTTCAAAATTCAAATTGCATTATACAAATATTTAACTTAAATCTTCCATTAAAACATAGACCAAATATGTATTCTACAATAAAGGGTGGACTTTGTTCACGGCCACAAGGTAGTGATAATGATTTCAAGATAACACAGATAAAATCAGAAATACTTGTTAAAATTTTTTAGTGACCCAACATGTACAGCTAAAACAAAACAGGAGGCCCAGAGGGTCTGTATCGCTCACCTGGATAACAAAGCAATCATGGCAAAATATTCTCCAAATGAGATCAGGGGAATATACCAGACCCCAAGGCCAATCCTTGTAGCATTTCTGTATTAGACTTTTCATGCCCAGCAATTTATGTATGGTTATGGGGTGGGGATCTCAACTGTTTCCAAGCTTTGACTCAGAGACTAGGTCCCTAGGGTTGTGGCCAGACCCCAGGGTCACTTGCACGGTTGCGCAAGGTGTAAGTACGTTGCCCGCACACCACGCCTGGTCCTGAGCGATTGCGTGCGTCGTACGTTGCACACGTGGTAAGTGAGTTGTACGTGCTTACAACTTGCTTACAACGTACAATCTCCTTGCGATTGCCCCGTTATTGAACGGAGGCCGTACTTACACGGGCTACTCATGTACGGTGTCCTTACTCACTCGCATGTTGTAAGTGAGTGGAAATTTCGATGAGTGTGAGTTTATCCGCCCAATGTCTGGGGGGATATATAGAACGCTCCTCCACGCCTCTTCCCCTTCCTCTCTGGCCATCTCATCTTCCGCGGCCCGTTTCTGTTGGGCCTCTCTGGCCGTATCCGCTGCCTTTTGAGCTGCAGATGGTCAGCATCTTGGAGACGAAATGTTGGCACTCGTCCGTTGGCTTGGCTTTTATATATACTCCAGAAATCAGTGCGCACAACGTGCGTTGTAAGTGCGGAGCACATGCTTACTCCATACGGTCCACGTCAGTTCTGCGTGCTCATTGGACAGTAGAACTGGGGAAGTGCCAGTTAAGCACAGGCCACGCACTTATCATGTGGGCAGCATGCACGTGCTATGTGCGCCGTCCGTAGAGCAAGTGACAGTGGGAAAAATTTAAAAGACTCACAGAGTCAGTGCGTTGTAAGCTCATTGGCTGTAGAAGGCACGCGCGTCACCCATACTGGCGTGAATCCGTAGCCTGACCGCATCCCGAACGCAGCAAAAGTTCCTCATGCACTAAAAGTGCTACGGCGTGTCTGCGTTCTCCCAAATCCGTACTGAGGCGGTACTCACCAAGTACGGATCCCCCAATTTTGCCCACGTTTTTGCAAGTAGACAGCACGCACTTGCAAGTACGGCGGGTTGGGACCAAGGCTTAAAGCAATATTGCCAAATTGACCCCTTTTTGCCCCGCCCCTCAGCCCCCTGGGGGGTCAGCTCCATCATTTGTACAATTTTGAATCCCTGACACCTAGGGATGCTTCCAGTCAAATATGGTTGATATCCATGGCATAGTTCTACAGAAGAAATCGTTTGTAACAATATAGCCAAATTGCCCCCTTTTGGCCCTGCCCCTCAGCCCCCTAGGGGGTCAGCCCAACCATTTGTACAATTTTGAATCTCCACCACCTAGGGATGCTTCCAGTCAAATATGGTTGATATCCATCTCTCAGTTCCAGAGAAGTCGCTGAAAGCAGTATAGCCAAATTGTCCCCTTTTTGCCCCGCCCCTCAGCCCCCTGGGGGGTCAACCCAATCATTTGTACAATTTTGAATCCCCACCACCTAGGGATACTTCCAGTCAAATATGGTTGATATCCACTTCTTAGTTCCAGAGAAGAAGTCGCTTAAAGCAATATAGCCAAATTGACCCCTTTTGGCCCCGCCCCTCAGCCCCCTGGGGGGTCAGCCCCACCATTTGTACAGTTTTGAATCCCCACCACCTAGGGATGCTTCCAGTCAAATTTCATTGAATTCCAACCAGTGGTTCAGAAGAAGAAGTTGTTTAAAGAAATTGTTGACGTATGACGGACGCAACGGTATGGCATAAGCTTGAGGTGAGCTAACAATACCTGTCATATCAAACTGTAAAATATTCTTCTCAGATATAACCCCAAAATCAACAGGAAGAAATGACAGTCAAGAAATGACAGTCAATGTAGTATCACAAGATCTTTATTTTCATATAGCTCTATATCCCGGTTAACCACTGACCAAACATATAATGTAACCCTAGGTATTCCAGTCCATAGAAAGGAACCATTCAAAGACAGATAACATTGATTAACAACAGACATCTTACCAGACCATGAACTCACACTAACACTAAGTGCTAGGACATCTTACCAGACCATGAACTCACACTAACACTTAGTGCTAGGACATCATACCAGACCATGAACTCACACTAGTACTTAGTGCTAGGACATCATAGCAGACTATGAACTCACACTAACACTTAGTGCTAGGACATCATACCAGACCATGAACTCACACTAACACTTAGTGCTAGGACATCATACCAGACCATGAACTCACACTAACACTTAGTGCTAGGACATCATACCAGACCATGAACTCACACTAACACTTAGTGCTAGGACATCATACCAGACCATGAACTCACACTAACACTTAGTGCTAGGACATCATACCAGACCATGAACTCACACTAACACTTAGTGCTAGGACATCATACCAGACCATGAACTCACACTAACACTTAGTGCTAGGACATCATACCAGACCATGAACTCACACTAACACTTAGTGCTAGGACATCATACCAGACCATGAACTCACACTAACACTTAGTGCTAGGACATCATACCAGACCATGAACTCACACTAACACTTAGTGCTAGGACATCATACCAGACCATGAACTCACACTAACACTTAGTGCTAGGACATCATACCAGACCATGAACTCACACTAACACTTAGTGCTAGGACATCATACCAGACCATGAACTCACACTAACACTTAGTGCTAGGACATCATACCAGACCATGAACTCACACTAACACTTAGTGCTAGGACATCATACCAGACCATGAACTCACACTAACACTTAGTGCTAGGACATCATACCAGACCATGAACTCACACTAACACTTAGTGCTAGGACATCATACCAGACCATGAACTCACACTAACACTTAGTGCTAGGACATCATACCAGACCATGAACTCACACTAACACTTAGTGCTAGGACATCATACCAGACCATGAACTCACACTAACACTTAGTGCTAGGACATCATACCAGACCATGAACTCACACTAACACTTAGTGCTAGGACATCATACCAGACCATGAACTCACACTAACACTTAGTGCTAGGACATCATACCAGACCATGAACTCACACTAACACTTAGTGCTAGGACATCATACCAGACCATGAACTCACACTAACACTTAGTGCTAGGACATCATACCAGACCATGAACTCACACTAACACTTAGTGCTAGGACATCATACCAGACCATGAACTCACACTAACACTTAGTGCTAGGACATCATACCAGACCATGAACTCACACTAACACTTAGTGCTAGGACATCATACCAGACCATGAACTCACACTAACACTTAGTGCTAGGACATCATACCAGACCATGAACTCACACTAACACTTAGTGCTAGGACATCATACCAGACCATGAACTCACACTAACACTTAGTGCTAGGACATCATACCAGACCATGAACTCACACTAACACTTAGTGCTAGGACATCATACCAGACCATGAACTCACACTAACACTTAGTGCTAGGACATCATACCAGACCATGAACTCACACTAACACTTAGTGCTAGGACATCATACCAGACCATGAACTCACACTAACACTTAGTGCTAGGACATCATACCAGACCATGAACTCACACTAACACTTAGTGCTAGGACATCATACCAGACCATGAACTCACACTAACACTTAGTGCTAGGACATCATACCAGACCATGAACTCACACTAACACTTAGTGCTAGGACATCATACCAGACCATGAACTCACACTAACACTTAGTGCTAGGACATCATACCAGACCATGAACTCACACTAACACTTAGTGCTAGGACATCATACCAGACCATGAACTCACACTAACACTTAGTGCTAGGACATCATACCAGACCATGAACTCACACTAACACTTAGTGCTAGGACATCATACCAGACCATGAACTCATACTAACACTTAGTGCTAGGACATCATACCAGACCATGAACTCACACTAACACTTAGTGCTAGGACATCTTAAAAATATAAATGTATCATTTCACACAGCAAAATAAGCTGATTTATAATTTACACTTGAACATCAATTAAAAAAACAATATATAATACAGACATATTGAAAAAGTAAACAGCTTAATTCCTTTGTAAGTTATATGTACACATATCACATGGACAAATCATCATCAATATATATCATGAATTTATTGATACATCAAGCTTTGAGTGTTTAACCTTTGGATGTGACATAATTATTATCTCTGAAAACAAACACTACATGAAATCTTCAATATGTGTAATGACTACAGTATTGTCTGATTTAGAATCTAGATTACTGTTGGATAGTGTTTTGTTAGTATAAGTAAATATTGTTATTGGTTTATAGTGACCGGAGTTCTGCTGGCCATGTGACAGCTGCCTTCTAAGACTGATGTATACAGTCATCTATAAATAATGCCCACCTGTGCCAGGAATTCTCTACAAAGTATCAAACATATTCTGTGTGATTTCAGCTGTCATAAACAAGATTTATATCACTAAAAGATTTACATATAGGTAGAAACTGAGTATAATGTGATGGTATCAGACATATCATATATATATAAGCTTTAAAGAGTACATCTCGCACACTAACATCCCATTTATTCTAAAAACATTCGGAACAAGTGAAGAACTCTTATATGATATTCCATGTATAT